CTTTCACACTCTTAGTTCTTATGGATGTGGGTACATGTTTACTTATATCCTGTAATCTTTGTGAAGTGCGACCTACATACGGACATTCGCAGTGGCACGAGAATTCATAAATAACCATACTTTTCTGTGTGGTAGGTATTGCATCTTTTTGTGTTGTAGACAACAGCTTATGAGTGGAATAAGCACAGTAGGGTTTCACTGCAGGAAAACATTTAGTGATGGCGATTTTCAATTGTTTTTCAAATTTTGTTGAAATGTTCACAATCCATGGTAGTTTTAGGTAAACTGGGCACTTGTGAGGACCAAATTTTGGATCAGTTGAGAAGTTTGCAATTTTCCTTGAAGTAATTTGATTAATGATGTTTTCTGGATACCCATTTTCTAGTAAAATAGTTTTAATTGTCTTCAATCTAAATCTAGTTTAGATTTTGAACAGATAACTAGAGCACAATGGACTAAAGTAGCAATGAGGTTTATTCTGCGACTTTTGGGACTGAAAGAATCCCATCCTGTGTATTGTCCCGTGAAGGTAGGTTTTCTGTATATACTGGTGAGAAAACGAAAGTCATCTTTTTCAACTAAAGAGTTATGTTGTTCCTTTTCAAAAGTAACTTTGAGAGCCAAGTGCAATGAGTTGAGGTCTTGTAAGAAACACTAGCATTCCTGCTCAGTTTTAAAGATGGCAAATGTGTCGTCTACATAGCGGAAGTAAAGAGCAGGTCTGGTAACTTTGTTAAATAGTTCTTTTTCATGGAAACCAACGAAAATATTGGCTAGGGCAGGTCCAAGAGAAGAACCCATGGCAACTTCGTCAATCTGTCATCATATCATTAAAGCTGAATTCCACCAAATGTGTCACAGTATTCATCAGTTCAATAAACAAGTCCTTAGGTATTGGAGGGCACTGAACTTCTCCACCATACAAAGTATATACACAGATTTAGATGGTTTCTTCCAGGGGTACATTAGTAAACAGGCTGCTGATGTCGAAGGAGTACAAAAATTATTGTTTATGGTCAAGGCTAAGGTTCTGTATGGTTGTAATAAAAGAAAAGGAGTCTTGAATACAGTTTTCCGAAAAGTATGTTAACACCTATTCTAAAATTTCCAAAAGCCACTTTGATAATTCATGTTGTACAGAGCCAATCATAGACAAAATCGGGCGAAGTGATACATCCTTTTTGTGCGTTTTAGGAAGGCCATATATGTGGGAACATTGTGAGCCTGAGGGCCTAATCCTGTCATAAATATCACTTGGTAAGGAACCTTTCTTAACCAGTTCTAATAAGCATTTTACTTGTTTTCAATTTTTGCCATGTTATCTTTTTGCAAAATAGTGCCTAGCATTTGAATTTTGTTTCATTTAAGATGTCATATATTTTTTCAATGTAGTCAGTTTTATTCAAAATTATGGTACCAGAACCTCTGTCAGGTTTTGCTGCCAAAAATAATTCTTACACAATCCACACAACCTTCAGTAGGTCTGTGACATTTCCTGATTTGCTAAAGGACATGCCAATCAGTGATTGCTTTACTGGCTTATGTTGATCTGACTCATTTTATAAGTGGTACTAATTCCTATTGATCATTTTCCAGACGGTTCTGTGAAAAGCTTCAGCAGATATTTCTTTTACAACATTTCAACCAACAATTGGTCCAGTTATCAATGCTATTTTCAAGTTTTGAACAACTCTACTTTCAAGATCTACATATCTACATGAGCCAACGTTTCCATTTATGAATGTTATATTTTAAAATCTGTGCAAGAACTCAGCTACCTTCAATGCTGATTGGGGTTCTGGATCTATCGGTCCCACTTCAATCACTTCTTGGGTTTTCCCTATTTTAATATGTAGTCTTTAATCACATTTGGGTAAGCTGTTACTGCATGACTGAGAATGCCCACAGTACACATTCTTTTCATCGCTTTTTTTCACCATGTGAGTGGATAGCAGTTTTGTGCCTTGACTTTTGGACTTGCTTTGGTTCCATATGTCTTTAATAGGGTGGTCTGCATTTTATCTGACTTCCACATCTGGGTGATTTTTACAAACACCATTCATTGGATGTCTAGCTTCAGTTAGCTCTTTCCAAATGGGGTTAGTATTAACATACTCCTCGGCTCCTTCTATACTCAGCTCATAATAGTTGGATTTTTCCAGTTGATAGCTGAACATATTACCCACAATGTTGGGTTTACCATTTCCTCCCCCTCTTCTGGATTGTTTCTCTTCTTCCCTGGTGCTCCTCTCCATAGGTAGGGGGCATAATTCCATTAATAGGAGGCTTTAGGATAATAGTCTTCAGTCAAAAGTTATTATCCTCTACACACCCTGGCACTTCTGCTAGTCCAAGATCCTTTATTTCACACTCTTCTTGTCTAGTTTGGCTAATCCTGTTTTATTTTGACTTTTGACAGTGATGGCTTATATCACTCATGAAGGGGAGCCTCCATTTTGTTTCCTTTGAAGTGAACTGTGGATGTATTTTTTGAACCCACACACTTGATATGCATCTCCTGGAGGGTCATGTTCCAGGTGCTTTGCCCTCATTGCTAATTGACTTTCAAGTCCTGACAATTTCTCCAAAAGAGTGACCTCTTGATTTTTGGTGGCACTGCATCTGTGGGGTACTTCTCCATGTGAAGTTTTTGAATCTTTTATCACTTCCCAGTTAATTACCTCTTTTGTTTTTGGTTTCTGGTTCATCATCCACTTGCTCTGGTATTTGATTTGTTAAAACCTCAAGATTGCAAAGCAACAATTATGAAGACTTTGAAGCATACGAAATACACAAAATAGTATACATGACACAAAATATGGCTGAAGCAACAAGTTATAAAGTGAAGTAATCAAGGGCAAATTTCTGTTTTTGACATGAAAAGCAGTTTTTTAAACATCTTGTTATTATCAACTATTCTACTATAACATGTTATTACTGACTCATTACTGTACACAGTTCTATTATACAAATATCTAGACAGTGATTAGGAACTGGCAATTTAAATTATTGTCATTGGAAGAATATTGTTTTTATTCCAGTAGTTAGGTGAACAACATTTATATGTGGTTTTCTTGTTTTAGGCTGGTCCCACCAGTGGGTGCACAGTAGTCAAGTCACCCTAGATCCAACTGATGAACTAAAACAGATGCAAAATGAGCTACTACAGTGTTTAAGAGAGGAAAATACAGAGTTGTCAGCATTGGGAATAGAAAGAACTTTTTCTCAAGTATGTTATGTGGTTTATTGATTTCTGTATGTCTACTCTCATAGCTGCCAAACTTTTTCCAAACCTGCGGGGACAGCTGGGTTTAACCCAAAAAATTTCTTCATAAGTGGAGGGTGAAATAATTGCCTACATGACAATGTAGGTAATTTTAAACAGTGTTATATTCCACACCAGAAATACTATTTATCTGCACCTGGGTAGTCTACTTTGGGGAAATTGTAAATATTTATTTCCTGAGTAAGTTAGATATTTGTATAAGAACTTCTCTTGATTGGCTTAATATTAGTCTGATCACTAACCCTTAGTGTGCAAACTGAACAGCATTTATCACCCAAAACAATATACAACTTTTGATATTTCTTCTTTAAAATTTTCTAGGTTTGTTATTTGATTATTTTGGTTTGAATAAAATTTCTTTATACAGACATAGCTATAATTTCAAATAGGAGAGTGATTTTTTAAACTGTATATTTTACTAAACATTCAGATAATTACATATGTCCACGTGTATTTATAGAAGACTCGAACATAATATTTGTCCTATGCTCTAAGTAAATTTTGTAGAATATAAACAGGTTCTACAGAAAATGTAGGGTAAATCATTATTACTGACAAATGTTTTGGATCATCTGCACTTATATTTTTTACACCAAATAATCATATAGAGTAATCAACAAAA